GCCTCAGGGACCTGCAGGAACCTCACAAAATGACTCCGCGAGGAATCGGGGCGGGAAAGGCCAGTCCGCGCCACGTGCCCAGGCGGGCCAGGCAGGGGCGGGTGGAGGTCGACGCCAGTGCCCACGGCTGCAGGGCGAGCAGGGGGCTCGGCTGGGACGAGCAGTTTTTTTTTCTGGTTTTTAAATACCTCTTCCTCATCCTCGGATTCCGGCCGGCACCCCTCCAGCCGCAGCGAGAAGTGGCTCATTTCTTCCTCCTCCTCCTCCTCCTCTTCTTCCTCCAGCTCCTCATCCTCTTCCAACTCCTCGTCCTCGTCCTCGAAGCGGCCCCTCAAGCGGCCCAGGCTGCGCTCCGGCTCCAGGTCCGGGGGCCGGGAGCCCGAGCAGCCTGGAGCCCCCTCCTCGGGCAAAGGCGGCGGATCCTCTTCACCCGCTGCGGGCGCCGGGGTGAGGGCAGGAGGGGAGCTGGGCGGTGGGGGCGGCACGGCTGCGGCTCCCTCCGCCTTGGCAGCGGCCGCGTTTGCCCTTGTCAGCACCGGGACCCCCTCCATGCCCAGGTCAGACACCAGGCGAGAAGCGACCAGGCGGCTGGATAGCGCGGGAGTTGCTCCAGCCGCCTCTGCAGCCGTGCGCAGGCGCGGAGACCTGCAGGGCCCGCTGGGAAATGTGGTCCACGGAGCCTCACCTAAGCCAGGGCGTGGGCGGAGCCGCTCAGGTGTATGGGGCGGGGCTTGCAGGCCGCATCTGAACGCGTTAAGAGCCAAGCCTGTTCTGTCTCCTTTCTGGAAAGCATAGTGACAAGTCACCGGCGATGGACATGGCGCTTAACGTGTTTAAGAGAGTTGTAAACTGATTTTTCTTTTGGAAGGCTGGCGCTCTCTTCACTGCCTTTTAAAAACAACTGAAGGCCCTGACCGGTTTGGCTCAGTGGATAGAGCGTCGGCCTGCGGACTCAAGGGTCCCAGGTTCGATTCCGGCCAGGGGCATGTGCCTTGGTTGCGGGCACGTCCCCAGTGGGGAGTGTGCAGGAAGCAACTGATCGATGTTTCTCTCTCATCGATGTTTCTAACTCTCTATCCCTCTCCCTTCCTCTCTGTAAGAAATCAATAAAATATTTAAAAAAAAAACACACAAAAAAAACCCCGACTGAATTGGTACCCTTTCAGACAGCAATATTTTGTCAGCATGACTGATCACAGAGCACTATATCCTTATACACTAGCAGTGTATATATAGTTATACACTAGCACATGAACAATTTGGTACTTTGTTTGACACCTCTAGGAAATCAATACACAATCCAGATATTCTTCACTAGGTGAAAAAATAACCCCTCCGATGTGGCTCTGTGATTGAGCGCTGACCTATGAACCAGGAGGTCCCCGGTTCGATTCCCCATCAGGGCACAGGCCCAGGTTTCGGGCTTGATCCCCAGTGTGAGGTGTGCAAGAGGCAGACAATCAATGATTCTCACTCATCACTGATTTTTTTTCACATATTTTCAGTTTTTTATTCTTTTCCTTTTTCTCTTTTTCATCATTGATGTTTCTTTCTTCCCCTCTCCCTTCCTCTCTCAAATAAAAAAATATTTTTAAAAAACAGATGAAACATTGGAAATCCTATATACTAAAAGCCTAATATGCTAAGTGTCCAACTGTTCTTTCGACCAGTGGCTATGATGCACAGTAACCACCAGGGGGCAGACACTCAGAGAGGTAGGTTAGCTTGCTGCTGGGGTCTGGCCGATTGGGACTGGGCCAGATGGGCCCGGACAAGCTCTGGAGCCCTCCCATAGTTCCTCCCTGGCCCCGATGGTGCACTGGTGGGGTCCCTCAGCCTGGCCTGAGCCCTCTTGCAATCCGGAACCCTTCAGGGAATGTCGGAGAGCTGGTTTCGGCCGGATCCCTGCAGGCCAGGCCAAGGGGCCTCACCGGTGCAGGAATCTGTACACCAGGCCTCTAGTTAAACAATAATGAATCTCAAAGGCATTATGCTGAGTGAAACAAGCTGGTCTCAAGAGGTTACATATTGCACCATTCCATTTTTATGACATCCTGGAAAGGTTGAAACTTTAGGGACAGAAAAGATCAATGGGGTTAGAGATGGGGGAAGGATTTGATTCCAAAGAGCCAGCATGAGGGAGTTTTTAGAGTGATGGAATGGTTCTGTATCCTGAGAGTGGAGGTGGTTACACAAATCTATGTGTTGAAATTCACAGAACTGCACGCAAAAAAAAAAAAAGATCCAATTTTACTCTATATAAATTTAAGTGATGATGATAAACCATTCCCACCTATCAGAATGGCAAAAAATTAAAAAGTAACAAAACATTCTGGTGATGAGACTGTGAGTAAACAGTCACTTTTGTACACTGCTGATAGAATTGCTAATTGGTAGAAATCTTAAGGAGGACAGTTTGGAAATGTCTGAGAAAACGTGCATAATTTATCTTTTTTAAAAAAATATATTTTATTGATTTTTTACAGAGAGGAAGGGAGAGGGATAGAGAATTAGAAACATCGATGAGAGAGAAACATCGATCAGCTGCCTCCTGCACATCTCCTACTGGGGATGTGCCCGCAACCAAGGTACATGCCCTTGACTGGAATGGAACCTGGGACCTTTCAGTCCGCAGGCTGATGCTCTATCCACTGAGCCAAACCGGCTAGGGCCATAATTTATCATATTAAAAAATATATGTTTTTATTGATTTTTTTTTTTTTAGAGAGAGAGGAAGGGAGAAGGATAGCGAGATAAAAACACCGAAGAGAGAAAAACATCCATCAGCTGCCTCCTGTACAAACCCGACTGGGGATCAAGCCCATAACCAGGGCATGTGAGCTGACGAGGAATCGAACCATGACCTCTTGGTCCATGGGTCAATGCTCAACCACTGAGCCACACTTCTGGGCAGCATTTATTTTTTGATCTACCAATCACTCGTGTAGGATTTATTCTGAAGATATAATCCAAAAATACAAAAATAAATATGCAAAAGGTTGTTCACTGCAACACTGTAATTGCACAATCCTGGAAACCAGCTAAATGCCCATGCATGGGAGAGTAAATGAATAAACAAGTGAATATCCACAAGATGGAGTACCATGCAGCTCTGACGTAAAGATCTGTAAAAACGGTGAAAGCCTGAGGACATGTGTGTGCACATGTGTGCCTGTGGGTTAGCAAACAGAGTGATGAATCCCTTTTGGGGCATCCCTCACCTTTTCCCAATACTGGGCTTCAGCCACTCCCTCTGGTATGTACATCAGCCAAAGTAAATGATATCCACAAATACAAATTCATGGAGAAAAGTAATGAGATGCAGAAGGAGGTGCAACTCCCATTAAAGTAAGAAAGTGAACAACCTAGACTAGACAGATAAAATACATCAGATAGAAAGGTAATTTAAGTAGATAATAGATATCATCAAAGAAAAAAAAGAGCCCTGGTTGATATTCTCAGTGGTTAGAGCATCAAAGAGTCTAGGACAGGGGTGGGCAACCCCTGGCATGCGTGCCAAACATGGCACGCCAATAACTTTTGCTGGCACGCAAAACCCTCTCTTATAGTCTTCCATTTACAATTTTTGTGAACATTTGAATGACTTAAATGTTAAGTTACAAGGAACTGGCAAGACACTTGATGTTATGTTTGGTTACATAAAGGCTTTTGAAAAGAAACTGGAAGTCTTTAAGAGGGATGCGGATGGTGAGAGATTTCCCAAACCTCAAGAGGCACATCAAAGACCTCCCAAAAGATGACAGAACAGACTGTCAAAGTCTTCAAAAGCTGTTTTAAACATCATCGAGTCAACTATTGAGCAGTTCTTCTCAAGATTTGAAAAATTCAGAGAACTGGAAGAGACAGCAAAAATTCATGAGGTTCCCAAAGGGCATGAAACTGGAGGAACTAAACTTACAAATGTTTTCATAGATAGACATGGCTGGCTTTGAAATGCAGTTGATTGAATTTTAGAGTAGCTCAATTTGGAAGCAGAAATTTATTGATCTTAGAGTTGACTTGGAAAACATTGAAAAAAAGTGATTAGAGACAGGAGTACCAGAGAGAAGTTTCGAAAATGAACTATTGAGGA